TCAGCATCCATAGGGTGCACTGATATTCGCCCAGCTCGCCAATGACCTCCCAGGAGGAATGTCCCAATTGGCTGCTCTGAGCTGGCCACTCCGACAGACTAAATGCAGAGCACAAGGCTCCTGACAGCACTTTCGTTGCCCTTTGCTTATCGGCGTCAGCCTGGGCTGGAAACCTCCGCGTAGCCTGGCTACCTGTCTGAGCCACAGCCCCCAAGGTCCACTCTGCTGCCAAATTGGCAGGGCGAACCGCTGTCCCGTGGAGAGGACGGTCCTACGGAGCCCAGAGCACCCTGTGCCTACAAACAAGTGTTTCACAAGCCATGAGCACCCGGCCGAGAGCTACATGGCAGGCGTGGGGGTCAGCACTGTCCTCACGCCTCCTGGAAAGAAGGCAGGCAATTCTGGGATCTGAGTTGGCTGAGGAAGAAAAGCCACAAATAAATTATGAGCAGATTAAATTCTCAGAAAGTATAAGTCAGTCCCGCAAATTCTATCCCTGAAAGGAGAGATGAAGCAGGAGGTTGTGGCTTACCCAGCACCTTTCATCCAGGGCTCTGCAGAGCGAAGGTGAGGACTGAGTCACGTCACGTCCTGCCACGCCCCGCACATGCAGAGGCCGACACGGCAGGAGGTGCTGAGACGCAGTGACATACCCGCCCCGTGCAGGGCACTGCCGACGAGGGCAGACCATGGAGCAAGGCTCCTGGGCTCAAACCCAGGCCTGCTAACGAGTGGTTTTGTGTTTTTGGAACTAGTTATGCCTGTATTTCCTCGACTGTAGTGTTATCACAGCAACCACAGTGCCGACTTCATGGTGTCACAAATGAGCTCGTGTGTGTAAAACCCTCAGTGCCCGGCTCAGAGTTAGGTGCTAAGTTCCTGTCGCTGATGCTGTTATTACTACTCCTCCTCCGACTATCACTCCTGTGTGGTCTCTACGAGTCAGCAGGGACACTCCTTCCCACACAAAGGGCAACGCTTCTCTATGTAAAATAACTGTGCAGGTTTCAGTAGATGCCAACAGACCACTGTCAGGTTCTGCCAATAAGAGAAAAGGTAAGTTAAGGTAGAAAAGGGGAGACAGGGAGCGGCGAGGAGGGCGAGTCAGAGCTGTGGACTGGTTCTGCCCCCAGAGCCACTGGCCGAGGCTGAGTCTGTGGTGAGTGCAGGCAGAACACCGCGGAGCCACTGCAGTTCCGGACCCGACAGGGGCTCACATTACCAAGGCACAGGCTAGGAGTTCATCAGAGTAACTGCTCCTTGACTGTAAAGCGTTTTTCCATTTACTCCTGTGACACACATTTACCGAGGCCCATGCTCTGCCCGACAATCCTTAGGGAGAGGCACACGACGACACACAACAGGAATCACACTGCACCAAGCCGTCTCCTTCCCAGTAAGAAGTCAGCACCTCTGCCCGGGGTGACGGGTTGTTCACGTGTCACGAAGGAGAAGGAAGTAGCCAGCTGAGGAAGCAGGGGTGCAGAAAGTCCGGGCAAAGGGAACAGCATACGAAGGTCTGAAGGAGGGAAAAGATAGTTTGGGATGCTGCGCAGTCTGGTATGTTCGACTCAGACGGGGGTGGGACATCCATGAAACCTGCCCAGGCTTCCTGTGGCCCCTGCAGGCCTGAAATGGCAGGACAGGCAATGCAGGCCGTGTCCCCTGATAAAAGCTCCACCTCATCCTGAGGCTTCAACCAGGAGCGACGCCATCGGGGCTGCATCTCGGAGTGACAGCTGCACGGGAACAGGAGCCGGGCTGCTGGCGGGAGTCGTGACAGGGACACCACGCAGGAAGTGGCCACCGTGCGGGGGGTGAGGTCCAGAGGCCAGGCACTGGCATGGAGACATGGCAGAGGTGAGGGCGGGAGGCCCCTGCGTGAAGGGACGGGCTCATCAGAATGCCTTCCAGTGGTGAACAGGACAGTACCAAGAGGGTTGAGCTTCGGACGCTGGTGGACCGTCCACCCTCTGCCCACAGGGACTGCGCCGTCTTAGACGGCTCGTTTCCTCCTCCGGCCTAAGTGACTCCCATCCAGAACCACCCTGAGCAGCGAGTAGCTGTGCTGCCTGCAGCCCTTCCCACCTGAAACATCCTAGTGAGCCCAGAAGTCAGTGCCACAGCCCGCCTCGCAGCTGTCCCCGGCCCCCGCTAAGCCTGGCTGGACAGGGTCACGGATCCTGGGCCGAGGCAACGGGAATGAGAAGGCCGTCCTCCGAGGGAAGGGCGAGCCTGCTGGCACCCGCGGACATGGCGCTGAGCGAGGTGGACACCGAGCAGAGAGGTTCAGAGAGCGTGTCACCTGCTCTCCCATCCGTCTCAGCTATCTCCTTGATGCCGTGGCCTTGGGCCCACGCTCTGAGCAACGTCCATGTAGGACAGGGGTGGAGGGCAAACCTCAGCCCAGAGCAGGGACGTTACAAGATACTGTACAGGAGAGAGGAACACACGTCAGCGCATCCAATCTTTCCACAGCCCGTTTCCCCGCTGTGAGGCAGAAAGCTCACTGCCCCTCCTCTACTCCAGGGGTGACCTGGGGACACCCGAGATAGAGCCGAAAACCGATTTGTGAAAAGATAAGCTAATATTGTTATTAGCACATGTGCCCTACACTGTTTTATGTAACAAGGTGGACTGAGATGGCCTAGTGCGTTGATTTAGAGCGAAGGTTGGTACAGCCTCTTGGAAATACTCACTGTGGTGCGAAAGCAGCCACAGACAGCGCCCGGCCACCAGGTGAGGCTGTGTCCACCACAGACAACGCCCGGCCAGCAGGTGAGGCTGTGTCCGCCACAGACAACGCACGGCCAGCAGGTGAGGCTGTGTCCACCACAGACAGCGCCCGGCCACCAGGTGAGGCTGTGTCCACCACAGACAATGCCCGGCCAGCAGGTGAGGCTGTGTCCACCACAGACAGCGCCCGGCCAGGAGGTGAGGCTGTGTCCACCACAGACAACGACCGGCCAGCAGGTAAGGCTGTGTCCACCACAGACAGCGCCCGGCCAGCAGGTGAGGCTGTGTCCGCCACAGACAACGCCCGGCCAGCAGGTGAGGCTGTGTCTGCCACAGACAATACTTGGCCAGTGAATGAGGATGTGTCCCAATACAATTTTATGGATACAACAACCCAAAGTTCCGAGTAAGCTCCATAGACACGGTCTGAAACACATGCTCGCTCACAGTCTATGAAAACCACCTGATCATGGCCTAAGACAGCCGTAACTCATAGACAATGAAGCCGCTTGAAGTGGCCAGGAACAACCTTTCAGGCGCCTTCTCATGTATTTTGGGCCCTAATTTACAATCATAAGCATACTGGTGGCAGATCTATTTTTCTCTCTTCCAAAAGTAAACAGAAAGACTAACAAAATGATGCTTAGTCGGAAAACCCTTCATATAGTTGCCACAAAAGTCCTCAAAAACATGTTTCTACTGTCACTGCTCTTTCAAAGGTTACAAATGCCCAGCATGGTCTGATGCACCATACACACCAACCTGAAGAGGCAAACTACTAAAAAAGCCACGATGACGTTCTCATGCCCACAGTGAGAGGAAACAGTTCTCCCCATTGGGCCCGGGGTCCGGTCCCTGAGCAGAATCCACCCCACGGGGGAAGGCAGGAGTCACGCACAGCCAGAACTGTCAGGGAAGACGGACGGACTTGGAATGAAAGAGAAGGGTCGGAATGCAAGTTTCATGCTCCCACGCGAGTTGGCACACACCCGTGCTGCTCTGCACTGAACTGAACACATGATCTCAGTCGTCTCCTGTCTCACTCTACCACTCGGAACAGAGATAGTTTTCTCCTTCCCTCATCTGCCCCTTTCTCTGCCTCTCCTCCAGAGACAGGGATCATTTTAATCTCCCTGAGGATTGAGGCGGCTCTAGAGTGACAGGCTACTAGGAGTTGAATTCCAGTGTGGGTGACCCTGAGATCCAAACTTGGACTCTGAGCCCATTCCAAAACCAACCCGAATGTCTGCGTCAAGGAGAGAATGCCTCTGTCCCGAGGTGTCCCTCCAGACGGAGACTGTCAGACGGGTCTAGAGACAGGGTCTGGTGGACGGACAGTGAGCTCGCTGCGCCGAGCACAGACCTAAGTGCCCACAAAGTATGGTCTGGAGGAAGAAGCCAGCATTCACTTTGACGAGTCCCAGCACTTGCCTCTCACCCAGCCCAATAATTTAGTAGATACAGTTTTAAGAGCCTCTATCTAGACCTTAAGCACCAAGATCATAATGCCAAGGATACCAAGATAGGTGACAGTAATCAACTTGCAAAATAAATAAATAAATAAAAAGAAAAGACCTTTTCAGAAGTATCAGCCTACCCAGAATTCTTAGCCCACACTTTGTGCCCTATAACGTATATACGTAGATGAAGTGGGAATTCCTCTGTGAGCAAACAACTGCTTTCAAGGGTTTTATCATCAGATTGATGCCTTTTTCACCAAAGACTCCGGGACCCAAAGGGCGCCCGTTTTGTTGGCTGCACCAGCGTGGAGGCTTCATCAGAGCAGTCTATTTCAAGCATTATTAATAGGCCCCCGGAGCCTGTTATCTTTGACTCCAGCACCTCGTGCCTGAGCAAAGGCTGCCAAGGAAGGTCTCCAAGTCAAAAGTAGCATCAAGGCACTGCAACCTGAGGTGCCAATCATCCACGGTCACCTGTGGGCGAAGGAGAAAAGCTGTCCCCCAATACCACCTGGGGGTTCTCCCAACACACCAAGATGATAATCCATAGCCGGTCAAGAGGCCACGGCCGAAGGAAAGAGAGAAAGGCCGCAGTTATCCTGATAATCCATATCACGCTTGTGTAACAGATGGATGTCTAACTAAGTAACTCGGATAACAGCCACTGTCCACTTCACAGAAGGGCCATCAGCGACGAAGCAGGCAGTCCAGCTGCTGGCGCTCGTCTCACACTCGGAGAATAATCGTTATGGACCTGAGATTCTTCAGGCCGTGGGGACAGGCACTGTAACTGCAGGAACTGACCTGTCAGAGTCTGTAAGCCAATAAAGGCCTCTTCTTGATTCAGACACAGAGATGGCTCTCAACAGAGGCAGGTTTGAGCTTCAATCTTCCAGAAGCTTCATCTTCAGCTGGATTTGTCTCGTGCTGACTGCACCTGCTCACGCCAATGCCAGCCCTGTAAGGTGGGAGGAAGGCCCACAGTCCCGTTCCGTGTCTGTGGGGGATGGGTTCAGGCCCCCTGGCATACCAAAGTCCAAGGAAGCTCAAGTCCCTTAGTCCGCCCTCAGGACCGAGGACTCGGAGGGCCAGCTGGATGGCACTTGCAGGTGTTTTTGTTGTTATTGTTGTTGTTTTAAATCCGCAGCTGTCGGGATAGAAAGCGCTGACATTTAAATCTGAAAAGTCTATCCTAATTCTCTCCTTTCTAATCCAAGTAACGGTTCCCAAGT